AGAGAGATAAGTCAACAAACGCCTCCTGGTTATGAAAAAATCATTTTCTTCTAATTATTGGCTTTTTACTTTAAATTTAACAGGGTGGGATAATTGTATGGCACCAATCTTCATTACTTGATTTGAGAAAAAGAACTAAGCTGTGGATAGTAGTGCATGCTATTGTTTGATTTTTTTTTTAAGAAATTTGCTTCATAATATCAGAGCTTTGCTAGGAATATCATGATCTTCAATAAGATTCTATACGCGTAGTGACATGATTGTTGTGTGATTGATGAGACTTATACCATAAATGGTTTGAGGACCATCTTATATTTAACCTCCTTGTTGGCACTGGTGTCGAATATGTAGGTCTCACATTTGGGTTGTTAGACAAATTACTAAATTTATTTGCTTACAAGGCCTGAGTATCACTTACAAGGACGTTATTATCCTGCCACTGTCGTATCGAACATTTTAAACCTGAATTGCACTCATTATGTGGATTCATTTTTTCTCATAAAAAAATCTAGGTTTAAAAAAGAAATACATAGTTCTTTGTTTTTAAATTATCAGTCCGTACCACAACAGTACAGTCGACTTCTTTAAGAGCTTGAGCATTATCAAGTATGTTTTATAATCTTAGACAATAATGCTATATAGATTCGCACGAAAGTAAGTTCGAGGTTCTTGGTTAAGGTTAAAAAGCACTGAAATCGTCTATTTATCTAGACACATACTGTATTCTGTAAACATTGAATACAGCTTCTTTAACTAGTGTTAGCTTGTAGTCTACAAATAGAAGTTATGAGATATAGAGATAAATTCGTGATATATAAAAATATAAAAGAAATTATGTGAAATGTTGTTTCTCATAATTGTGAAAGAGTTTTGTGATGATTTTCTTCTTGTCTCCTCTACAGAGCCAGTGGAGTTTTATATAGACTTGAACTTGCTCTTCCCAATATCCAGTCTGCCCCCAAATTTCATTGATCTGTTTAGAGGCTATGTGAAAATGTGTCCTTCCCCCAAAACATCACTGGGTCTTTAATAATAGAAGACTTGAACTTCACCACATGTAAGAATTTTGTGCTCAGTCACATTTAAATGTGTTCATACTCTGGTGCATGATTTATGAGCTGTGTTTGGTGATTGTCTTAAATGTGTTTATCAGGGTGCTATCCAAACTCCACTGGAGGACAGCAGTGTCAATGTGAGGACCAGTTTGCCTGGTCATGTGACAAGTGTGGCCGATACGGTGCATGCAGTAATGTCACCTCCCAAACCTGTGAATGCATCAAAGGACTTCCTTCTACTGGAGAGTTCTGTGAACCAATCACAGGTAAGCACTGAAATCTTCTAGCTGTTGCTACAGAAAAGTGCTTTCACCAAAGACCTTGTTGAATGTATCTGACCAGCATGTGTTCATCAACATATAGCATTGGCTATGGTCATTATGGTCATGTATTAAACATATGCTTCACTGTAAACTTTCTGTTGTTAGAAACAATGCTGTGTTCTTGTACTTGTTTCCTTTTTTGTCTCTTTGTCATTTGTGTTTTTGGTTTTCTTTTTTGCTGTTAATCACTTTTGTCATTGACTAGAAAATGAACAGTTTAAAACCATAATTGTCCTCCACAGATATTGCTCCATGTCCACCATCAACTCCTGGTATGTAAACATTCTTCTTGCTTCATTGTTCCTTCTTTAAAGTATTATTCAGCAGTAAATGTCATTACAAAAAGATGTGTAGTCACTGTATTTTACAAACCTAAAAAAATCTTTCAACAGTTCAAATTGTGTTAATAATTTACAAATGTTCAAATATAATTTTAAACTTCCTTTTATGACCAAAGCCTATACAGTGATAATATATAACCACGGCACATTAAGTGTTCTGCTTCATGTCCTTAAAACAAACACTTGATATTAAAGACATAATATGTAATGTTGCAAGGATGATGTACATTAGATTTTGTGGCTGCATTTGAAAATATTAATTTGAAATATCAAAAAGTATGCTATAATCTAACTGCTGTTTTTTTTTCCTGTTTCCATAGCCACAACACCATCAACACCATCAACAACATCACCTACACCAACACACAGTAAGAAGTTTGTAATGTATAGTGAAGAATGAAGGTCTTTGTGTGAGCTCCAGATTATTACAATACAGCTCTTTAAATCATCTGGGATGACATCTGTTTGGCTTGTGAATCAATTAGCTGGGAGTATTTAAATTTTCAGTTTAAGTGGTGGTAGTCAACAAGGTTTGACAGTACCAGATTAGAACAGTGCGGACTAGGGCCGGGTATCTGATTTGTAGAATCTATTCGATTCTGATTCACAAGGTCCTGATTCAATTTGATCCCCGATTTGATTAGATTAGATTTGAATCAGAGAAATTTTGCCTCTGTCAGAAATACTTATAATTTTGATAATTTATCAGTACTGACACTTGTGAGACTTGATCAGACGTGTAAGTGTCCCAACATTACCCGATGCTGCTGAAGTAAAGCAGAGCAAAGTTACAGAGGTTTTATTAGATACACAGCTAAGTGTTTTGCAGTTCTGCATAAATTTTAAAAAGTTTACATTTCTTCAGTTTTGAACAACAAAAATTAAGTTTCCTTGTCGGATTCCATTTTTGAAAAAACAACAACAACAACAAAACAGCAGCTGACAGCACTGAACACAAACGGTAAACTGATGCATAATAAGCAAGTGAACAATGCAGAATATAGATTTGAGATGGGAATCTGTTCTTGAAGTACAAGGAGAGAGAGAGCTCTGCAGGAAGTGTGATTTTTCTTTTTTCTTTTTTTTTATCGTGGTTTAAGCAAAACAGCAAAAGTAAGAGGGAACTCATGACAATGTTCATCAAATGTGAAGTGTAGTTCTGATCTTCTTTTGCTGTTGGTTCAGTGAAATTTGGTTGGAGAGTGACGAACCGTGCACCATCAGAGTCTGCGAGATGTGGACTTTTAGCCCTGACGGAGTGTCTGTGTATGCCGTCGAGTGAGAAAGGCAACACCTCACAGATTCTGATGTGACGTGGCCGGGCTTTGTGTTTACATCTTTGTGTGGAATCTGTTTATCTGCTCTTGATTGCTCTTTTAGCTGTTTGGCAGTTGTTGAAATGAAAGCTTTAACCTGAAATTCTGTTTTTTCTGGAAAAATGCATTTATATTTAAAAATCGATTCAGGATTTAATGAATCGATATTGCGTTATTCAAACTAAATTCGATTTTAATCGGAAAATCGATAATTGAAACCCATCCCTAGTGCGGACGTGGGGAGCAGATGCATCATCAAAATTTTGACCGTGTGGAAACAGGGGGCATTAAAGTGACAGCTTTTGTTAGCATTTTCTTGTATATATCATCTTCCATCATTGTGTTATGTATATGTGATGGATTGTGCCCTTTTTTTCCTTCACAGCACCAATGGACTTTGATATAGTCCTTGAATTACACATCCCAGCATCCAGTGTGGCCCCAGATTTCAGTGATGTACTCAGACACATTGTGAGAAATGTCTCCCTAAACCAAATCATCACTGAGTCTTTAACACTGAAAAACCTGACCTTCACCACATGTAAGGACTTGATCTTAATTGACTTTTGTACTCAGTCATATGTAATAGTATTCATTTGATCCCGCATGACTTATGAACTGTGTGTGTTGTCTTAAAAAGGGTGCTATCCAAACTCCACTGGAGGGCAGCAGTGTCAGTGTGAGGACCAGTTTGCTTGGTCATGTGACAAGTGTGGCCGTTACGGTGCCTGTAGTGATGTCATCTCCCCAATATGTGGGTGCATAAAAGGACTTCCTTCTACTGGAGAGTTCTGTGAGCCAATCACAGGTAAGCACTGAAATCTTCTAGCTGTTGCTACAGAAAAGTGCTTTCACCAAAGACCTTAATGAATGTATCTGACCAGCATGTGTTCATCAACATATAGCTATGGTTACTTAGAATCATTTATTAAACATATGCTTCACTGTAAACTCTCTATAGTTAGAAATAATGGTGTGTTCTTGTTTCCTTTGTCTCTTTTTCATTTGTTTTTGGTTTTTCTTCTTTGCTGTTAATTATTTTTTGTCATTCACTAGAAAATGAACATTTTAAAAGTATAATTTCCCTCTACAGATGTTTCTTCATGTCCAACAACAACTCCTGGTATGTGAACATTCTTCTTGCGTCATTGTTCCTTCTTTGAAGTATTGTTTTGCCGTAAATATCATTACAAAAAAAATGTGTAGTCACTGTATTTTACAGAAGTGTAGAGCTGCCACCCAGGGAAAAGAAAAATAGAGCCTATATCACGTCATAACGTGAAAAGTTTACTGTTCTAACATTACACTCTTCATGTTTGAACAATATACTATCATGCAAATACAATATACATAATTATCATGTTCGTGAAATATAATATTTATATTGTATGAACATAAAAGTTTTTTTTTTATAACGTGATAGTAGTGATAGTATATTGTACAACCATGAAAAGTATATTGTTAGAACAATAAACTTTTCACGTTATAATGTGATATACCTCTATTTTTCTTTTGCCTGGGTGGCAGCTCTACACTTCCGTAATATATAACAACAACACTTTCAGTGTTCTTAGTTTGAAATGTAAAACAGTATGCTGAAATCTAAACTGCTGCTTTTTTCCTGTTTTTATAGTCATAACACCATCAACGACATTAACTACAGCAACAACCGGTATGGCGTTTGAAATGTAAAGTAAAGAATGAATGTCTGTGTGTGAGCTCCAGATCATCAGTTGCTCTGTAAAATCTAAGACATGAATCACTTTTGCTGTACCAACACAGCTATTTATTTGGCTGCATTAGAAAAGAGAAATTCGAAATATAAGAAAGGTATGCTGAAATCTGAACTACTGCTTTGTTTTTCTGAGTTTTTCAGTCCCAACCAGTGTTGAGCAAGTTACTTTGAAAAAGTAATTAATCATAATTACTAGTTACTTCTTTAAAAAAGTAACTGAGTTATAAGATTCTAAAAGAAATTAATTACTTGAAAAGTAACTATTGTTTTACTTAAAAAAAAAGTTTAACCCTCTGGGGTCCGGGGTATAATTGGACATTTTTAACAACTTTTGATTTTACCTCTACAGTTCACCTTTAAAAACGATTTACTTTGCCTTGTTTGGTATCATCCTTTTCAGCACAACCTCACGTGTCTGAATTTAGTTTTGTTTTCATTTTGACATACTGTATTAACACAATTGATCTAACATCAGACAAAAAACATAACATCAGAGTAGAAAAAGTTATATTTTTTACTGTAACAACCACAAACATTTTTAATGAATCATATTTCATAACTTTAAATGGAAATATAAATTGTCAATTTTAAAATCATATGCACAAGTTTTGCAAACAACAAAATTATTTGCAGCCATTCAACTTTCACCCTTTTTAAAAAAAAAAAAACATTTAAAGCTATTTGCATAACACAACTGCATTCAATAAGATGCCACACAAAATATTTGTGCGACTCCCAAAAAATAATTTCTGTCCACTATAAAGGAGAACATCACAGCCTGATACCTGCAGGTCTGACAGCAGCAGGTGTATCACTCCTGTTTCTACCTGGAGACAGCAGTCGCCTCATTGTTCTGACACACAACACAAAACTATCCACAACACACACTAAATACACAAGACAACACATTAACTACACGCTCCAAACACGCTAAACGTCACACATCTCTCACATCACAAAAATCTCTCTCTCTCTCTTTCTCTCTCGCTGTCACTCCTAAAACCTCCCCCTCTTCCTAAACAACCAAATGTCATGTTTTCATATCATTTTTTAATTGGTCGACATGGTGCATTTTTTCACCAACATGAAAGGTCTGTTTTTTGTTTAGTTTTTTTTAATTTTTTGCTCATAAGCAGAGAGTGCTTGCTAGCGCTGTCCTTGGACAGTAAACATGATGAAACTATTGAGGAAAAAACTCTGCGTATATATTGTTTATCATGACTCTGGTTTTACGTGGCCTATCAACACAATTTAAAAACTGGTATATATGACCATTTTGCTTTGTCATCTTAAAGTGGTCATGTGATTGGCTTACCATGACTACTTTATTCTTCCTCAGTCAAACAGCAGCACTCATGTGATTGTTTTGCCCCCTTTGCTTCAGGTGCTGTGCCAAAAAGCAATTGTCTGCCAGAAAGTGATTGCTGTCCGCGGGAACGCGCGCAGCTGCTTAAAGCTGTAGCACGTAGATTAGAGCATTTTCAGATGAAAACGCAGTTTTCAAACCTGTCCGGGCTAGTGTGGACGTACCCTTAGTGAGCTCTTTAGAATGATCCATTCTTTCATAAATGTTTGGAAAAAGGTGGACTGCATGGCTAGGTGCTCTTTTATACACCTGTCACAATGGAGCTGAAAAAATCTAAAATAAAAAATTAAGAGGTGTGGCCCTTCACTTCTGTACTTCTTCTAGTCCTGTACGTCTCAAAAGAAGTAGAAACATCTTAGATGGGGTGTTTGTTCATAAACAATTTATGTAAATGTTGTTTCTCATAATTGTGAAAGAGTTTTGTGACGATTTTCTTCTTGTCTCCTCTACAGAGCCAGTGGAGTTTTATATAGACTTGAACTTGCTCTTCCCAATATCCAGTCTGCCCCCAAATTTCATTGATCTGTTTAGAGGCTATGTGTCTTGGTAAATTGTTGAAAGACTTTAGGTTAGTAAATACAGTGACTACAAATTTTGTAATGATATTTACTGCAAAACAAGATATTTACTCCTTTAAAGAAGGAACAAGGAAAGCAAGAATTGTTCACATACCTGGAGTTGTTGTTGGACATGGAGAAATATCTGTGGAGGAAATTCAGGTTTGAAAATGTTTATTTTCTAGTATGACAAAAATGATTAACAGCAAAGAAGACAAAACCAAAAACAAATGAAAAGAGACAAAAAAAAAACAAGAACACACCATTATTTCTAACTATAGAGAGTTTACAGTGAAGCATATGTTTAATAAATGATTCTAAGTAACCATAGCTATATGTTGATGAACACATGCTGGTCAGATACATTCATTAAGGTCTTTGGTGAAAGCACTTTTCTGTAGCAACAGCTAGAAGATTTCAGTGCTTACTTGAGATTAGTTTACAAAACTCTCCATTAGAAGGACGGAAATATCATCGAATTTTATGTGAAGAATGACATGAAGATGTAATGAAGGGATTTCAGAGTTTAGAGTGGGCGAGTAGGGATAGATATAGATAGAATAATGTGGTGTGGCTTGACATTGGGTGAGTCTATTTAAGAAATTGGATGCATTCCACTTTGCAATAAGTGAAATTCACCACGGACCATGATGGACCTTTTGTGCATTTCCACAAAATGTATTTAAGGTATTTATTTAATTAGCAACACTGCTCTTATCATCTTAATTCCCATAGAAGCAGTAATATTTTATTAACAGCAGCTTACTTGCGAATTTTAAGAAAGCTCAACAAATATAAGCAAACACAAATTTTGTCTGTGCAGTTTGGATCATAGGGTATCTTGCTATTGTAAATGTACCGTTTCTCTATTTTCTATGGAGAGTAAAACAGGAACCTTAATATGCAAAAAATGAGAGAAAACCAAAGAGAGGACTGGAGAGAAGAAGTTGAAAGCTTAAGTTTTTTTTTGCCATACTGTAAAAAGACAAAAACAAACAAAATAAATAATTATTTTTGGTTGGTTAATTTGCACTTTTGCGGTGCGTGTGCTGCAGAGCAAGGAGTTAGAAACTGGCCGTGACAGAGGCTTACTTGCGATTGGTTCACAGAACTCTCCACCAGGAGGAAGCTCTTTGATGCATTCACAGGTTTGGGAGGTGACATTACTGCATGCACCGTATTGGCCACACTTGTCACATGACCAGGCAAACTGGTCCTCACATTGACACTGCTGTCCTCCAGTGGAGTTTGGATAGCACCCTGATAAACACATTTAAGACAATCACCAAACACAGCTCATAAATCATGCACCAGAGTATGAACACATTTAAATGTGACTGAGCACAAAATTCTTACATGTGGTGAAGTTCAAGTCTTCTATTATTAAAGACCCAGTGATGTTTTGGGGGAAGGACACATTTTCCACATAGCCTCTAAACAGATCAATGAAATTTGGGGGCAGACTGGATATTGGGAAGAGCAAGTTCAAGTCTATATAAAACTCCACTGGCTCTGTAGAGGAGACAAGGAGAAAATCATCACAAAACTCTTTCACAATTATGAGAAACAACATTTACATAAATTGTTTATGAACAAACACCTCATCTAACATGTTTCTACTTCTTTTGAGATGCACAGGACCAGAAGAAGTACAGAAGTGAAGGGCCACACCTCTTAATTTTTTAATTAGATTTTTTCAGCTCCATTTTCACAGGTGTAAAAACAGTATCTAGCCATGCAGTCCACCTTTTTCAAACATTTATGAAAGGATGGATCTTTCTAAAGAGCTCACTAACTCAATAACTACTGAGGTCCAAACCTCCTCTGGCATCAGCTTAAAGACATGAGTTTCCTTGGCTGGGCAGCTGCAGCTGATCTAATCAAACATAAATTATTAAATTTTAAAACAACATTGATTTTGATGCAAATGTTTATTATAATGATGAATAATATTCTAAATGTTATTCAAGAAGAAGTGTAATAGTATTTGTATATTGCATTTAAATAGTAGAAGCATTTATATAAATCTTGTTGAAATTGGAAATTATTTAAAAACATTAACATCATTGGTTTCAAGTGACCTAGTAAACCTAGTCAGATTACCAAAGACAGTACTATCCTTATTGACAAAATTGATTTTCCGAATGCTCACTTTTCTATAACAAGTGGATTTCTTTTGACTTATTGAAGTTATCATCTCCCTATTTTTTGGATTATACATGATTCAGATGTTAAGTGTTCATTTAGTGTGAGTGAACCACCTTAAAAATAGTAAGTCACAAGAAAGAATTATGGCATTGAAGACTGATCAAATAAATGAAATTTAGGATGATGTATCCATATTGATGACCCACGTCAAGCATACAATGTATAATTAGGAAATGCTGGTTGAAAGAAAAAAAAATTTTAAACTATTTTTTAAAATAGTTAGAATGTCAGAGTATTGAATATTAAAAAGTCTTGAAGATATCTAAAAATCTTTTGTAAGAATAAGTACAAAGTGGACAGCTCAGATTTACTTGCTTAATAATAATAATAATAATAATAATAATAATAATAATAATATAGTCCTGTTGCAGTTGATTTAAGAACTTGCAGCAGCTCTACACCAAGTAGAGCTTGGTGAGTAATTTCCAAAATGCTCACTATTTTGCTAAAAGAGAGACTCTACTGACACACTAAAATAATAAGCTTATTTCTGCTAATATCCACAATCTAATTTGTTCAGTCACTACACAGAGTTCATGACAACAACTCATGGTTAAAACCTGGATCGCATGATTAAAGGAACAAATGCTTTGACCACATCAGGTAGCAATTCCTAAAAAAAACGTCAACTCTACAAGAACATCGGAGTTGATCCAGATCCACTTAAAATGATGAGCATAGCTGAAAACAAAAGACAGAGAAGATATGAAGGGGACAGAACACAGAATAGTTTTAGTGTCCGGCCATAGATACTCAGGGATAGCAGAATGGGAAACTGAATATGTTGGCGACGCAAACAGCCTTTAGACATTTTTGTTCCATAACCCTCAGGATCATTTAAGAAATTTCAAATGACTGTCTTACTCATCCCACCTCAGCAGTGATGGTGCGCTGTGAGAGACCTGCTTATGCAGTTAAACCAACCCGACTACGTTAACAAAAGAAACGTTTTTTTGCCTTTGGCCATCGGAATTACAGTGTGACTACCTGACAGAAAATACAATGAATCCAGCAGTAAAACAGCCCGTTTCAGTTTTTTTTCAATAAATTGCATGCTCAAAAAATGATTTATCTTATTCTTATAAAGGAGTTCGAGTCTCCAGAGGGAAAATCCTGGGGTTCGAGTCCCCAGGCCTGTGTTTTTGTTTCTGTCCAGCGACCGCTCGCTGTTTGTGTCCAGGCTTTATTAAATGAAAACATCCACAACACTCCCATTCTGTCTTGTTGCATTTTGAATCTCCACTTGGATCCTTGTTAATATCCATCCATGCAAAATATGATTTTTTGACTTTTTGCAGGTGGTCTTAACCTTTTGATTGGGACTGCATATGAATATATAAAGTATTAACAGAGATTAAAGTTATTAACAAAATCACATAAATAGGGTGTAGTTGCAGATCATTTAAATACGGATGTAGTTACAACAACAGTCATGCAGTTTTTCAGAATTTAAATTGCAAGTGATGATCAGGAGCTCTAACAAAAACATTTATGCTTCACATTTCATACATCATACCATATGTTGTAGTAGGCATTGTTATTACTGGTGTTGTGACTGTGAAAACAGAAATAAGCAGCAGTTCAGATTTCAGCACACTTTTCTTATATTTCAACCTTCTCTTTTCTAAATGCAGCCATATAAATAGCTGTGTTGGTACAACAAAAGTGATTCATGTTTTAGATTTTACAGTGCAAGTGATAATCTGGAGCTCACATACAAACATTCATTCTTCACTTTACATTTCAAACACCATACCGTTTGTTGCTGTAGTTTCTGGTGTTGATGGTGTTATGGCTATAAAACAGGGGGAAAAAAAGCAGCAGTTTAGATTTCAGCATACTTTTTTGTGTTGTATTAATATTTTTAAATGCAGCCACAAATCTAATTAAATTCTCCTTGCAACTTACATATTATGTCTTTAATATCAAGTGTTTGTTTTAAGGACATGAAGCAGAACACTTAATGTGCCGTGGTTATATATTATCACCATATACTTTGGTATAAAAGGAGTTTATTATATTTGACACTATAAATTATTAACAATTTAGTGTTAATTAATTTATAATAATGTATAATTATAAGTAATTATTATAATAAATAATTGTGTTATTATATTATTAACACAAATGACATTGTTGAAAGACTTTAGGTTAGTAAATACAGTGACTACAAATTTTGTAATGATATTTACTGCAAAACAATACTTTAAAGAAGGAACAAGGAAAGCAAGAATTGTTCACATACCTGGAGTTGTTGTTGGACATGGAGAAACATCTGTGGAGGAAATTCAGGGTTTGAAAATGTTTATTTTTTAGTATATGAGCAAGAAATGATTACATACCAGGCAGTGTTGGAAGAAGAAACAAACGTAGAAAAGGAAATTAACTTTAAGAATAGCTTTTATGAATGAAATAATTACAGAAGAAACCAAACAATGAGAACAAGAACAAGAACACTTATCTCAAGAGTTTACAGTGAAGCATATGTTTAATAACATGATTCTAAGTAGACCATGATGCTATATGTTGATGAACACATGCTGGTCAGATACATTCATTAAGGTCTTTGGTGAAAGCACTTTTCTGTAGCAACAGCTAAGATTTCAGTGCTTACTTGTGATTGGTTTACAAAACTCTCCATTAGAAGGACGGAAATATCATCGAATTTTATGTAAAGAATAGCATAAAAATGTAATGAAGGGATTTTAGAGTTTAGTCTGGGCGAGTAGGGATAGATATAGAAAGAATGATATGGTGTGGCTTGACATTGGATGATTTTAAGTAAACAATGTGACTGGATGTGTACATCTGTATTGGTGTATTTGTAGGTGGTATTCCTTTGAGACCTACTTTTAGGCCACTAAAACTGACCCAGTTAATTAAACTAATTCACCAATCTCAGGGGGAGTGTGGCTGACAGGACTCAACCTGCAAGGCTACTCAGTTTAAAATGTTTGAATGGGTCATTCTGAAAAGCTCGTGAATTCTAGAAAGGGTGGTATTGTGATCGTAATAAACAAGTCTACTTAAGAAATTGTATCTCTTCTCTATGTTTCATGATATCTGGGAGTGGTAATATCACAAAGTGGATGCATTCAGCTACAAGTAGTTCATTTGTGATCAGGTCACAGAACTCTCCAGTGAGAGGAAGCCCTTTTATGTACCTGCAGGTTTGTGAGGAGACATTATTGCAGAGTGCAAGATTTTTAAAAGGAGAATGGGAGGCAGGATCTTCAGTTTTCAGACTCCTCCTCAGTGGAAGCATAAAACCAGCTCCAAGATTGGATTTGGGAGGCACTCTCTCTCTAACTTTAAAATATTCCTTTTTGACATAGGAATAGTTGTTTTGAAATGGCCTTAGAATATTTTAAATTGGATGGGAATAATCAGGAACACTATTAAATACGTTTGGTTAAGAAGTTTATTAAATAAATTTGTGAAGATCAATTCAATTACAGTTATGTTAATCTTTTTGTTGCCAGTCTGGTTTTGCTTTGTAGTGGACAGTTGGAGATACTGCCTAAACTAAGAAAGTAAATGCCATCCCACAGGCTCCGTGTACACCCTCAGAAACAACCCTTTTGTCCGCTCCATCATGGCTATGTGGCTCATGGTGAGAAATATAATGGAGTCAACACTATGCGTTTAGCAGTATCTGCTGCAAGAGAAGGGAGAATCAATAGAGTTAATTTTTTTCAGGTGTCATGAAATTTAAAGTAAGCTCAACAAATAGTAAGCAAACACAAATTTGTCTGTGCAGTTTGGATCTAGGGTATCTTGCTACGAAATTACCTTTCTCTATTTCTATGGAGAGTAAACAGGAACCTTAATATGCAATAAACAATATAGAGAAAAACATAAGATAGAGAGGACTGCAGAGAAGAAGTTGAAGCTGAAGTTTTGTTTTTTTGCCATACTGTAAAAAGAGTTAAAAAAACAAAACAGGATAATTATTTTTGGTTGGTTTGCATATTGGGGGTGTCTGTGCTGCAGAGCAAAGGAGTTAGAAACTGGCCGTGACAGAGGCTTACTTGCGATTGGTTCACAGAACTCTCCACCAGGAGGAAGCTCTTTGATGCATTCACAGGTTTGGGAGGTGACATTACTGCATGCACCGTATTGGCCACACTTGTCACATGACCAGGCAAACTGGTCCTCACATTGACACTGCTGTCCTCCAGTGGAGTTTGGATAGCACCCTGATAAACACATTTAAGACAATCACCAAACACAGCTCATAAATCATGCACCAGAGTATGAACACATTTAAATGTGACTGAGCACAAAATTCTTACATGTGGTGAAGTTCAAGTCTTCTATTATTAAAGACCCAGTGATGTTTTGGGGGAAAGGACACATTTCT